CCCTTTCCGGGTGCGCAGAGGAGCGGGGCCGTGCTCGCAGCCGTCGGCTCCGCTGCCCCCGCGTCGCCCCGGGACCCGGCGCAGGGGTGTGGGGCTCGAGGTCGTGCCCGGCGCTCGCCGGGGACGGCTGCGCGCCCTGTGTGTTGTTTCTTTTTTTGGAACCTGCCTGACCAGTTCCCCGGGGCTCTCGCTCGCTCTTTGTTCCTGCTGGCCCTGCTCTCGCAGGGGTGTGCCGGCCACGCACGCCGCAGCCTTATCTTTTGGCACGGCTCCGAGGGTTACTCGCCTCTCGCCCAAGGGCCCTGCCGCGTTCTGCAGTTGGCTCCTGCGTGCCGAGCGCGGAGGAAGAGGGGTTGTGCCAGGTTTCTGTTCTGCAGAGGCTCCCGCAGGAGCAATAGCTGGTTCAGCAATAGCGGATGAGCCGTGGCCTTGAGCAAGCTGGAAATGGGAGACAGATGTCGGGGCTGGTGAACCCAGAGGCGCAGGACTGCATCAAGGCGGTGAGCGCTGGCGATGTTCAGGTTGCTTCGCAAGGAGACCTCCCCTAGCTGGAGCTGAAGGGGTCTCCTGTTCTCCTCCTCCCTGTTCAAGCTATTTGACCAACTTACTTGCCCAGTCCTAAGGGCCTGGAAGGTTTTCTTGCCCTGTGCTCCCTTGGCAGGGAAGGAGGGTTGAAGGAGGGTGGCTGGAGATGGCAGCTCGTTGCTGCTTTTTGGTGGTCTGCCTCACAGTCCCTGCCCTGGATGGAGGTGGCACCAGTCTCTTGCTGGAGCCGGCTCCAGGGCCGCTCTGCCCAAACAGAACAGCCTGTCTTTCTTTTCAGCGTTGCAAACCAGATCTGGCATGTAGACTCACTGTCTCTCGTGCAGGCGGGTGCTATTGTCCACTTGTGCCTTACGCTTGGGAAGCGGAAGGCACGTTATGGATGCCGAGTTGAGGTACGCTCAGAACGGACAGTTTTTTGTAGAAGGTTTTTTCTGGCCTGGATAATTCCCAGCTCCTCCAGCTTGCGCACTGACACCATCACCACGCCTAAGGACCTGCAGGTAGATCTTGGCTGCCTAGTCTAAGCCGAACCAACCTGGTGCTTTTCCTGCAGCTGCGTCTGCTCCACGACGTGCGTACAATTTAGCCAGTCAGTACAGCGGGCAGAAGCAAGGGCTGGAAGCAGAGGTGGCTTTCCTGGCCTGGCAGGAGTTGCTGTTTTCCTCCGGTCCCCCAGAAAGAGGAGCCCTAGCTCGTTCAGAGCTGCATGACCCACCATGGGGCAACCTGCACTCTCTCCCCTCAAGCCACCTCTGTCAGCAGTGCAGGGCGAGGGGACCTTTCTTGTTAAATGTAGCAGGGAAACAATTTTTGAGTTACCTAGGCAGCTAGCTCCGCAGGAGGCGGGTGCACTGCATGCCTGTTGCCCTTACTCTTTACAGAAGCCATAGTTAAAAGGGACCCAGCCTAAAAATCAGTGCCACTTGTGTTGTTTCAGGCTCCTTGGGGGCTCCTCATACTGGAAGGGGGTGATGAGGAGGGCTGGGGGTGTTGCTTATTGTGTTTTCCCCCGTCTTCAAAGGCAGCCCCCCTATGTCTCGTCTGGGTTATCCCTTCCTCTGCACGCATGCTTGGTTTCTCCTGTTCTCCGTGGGGAGGCTCAGCAATGCGGCAGAGAAGAAGGGGAATAAGGTTGTAAACGTTTGATCTCTGGATGGACCTGAAACGCTGAGCTGGAGGTTGCTATTGTCCCTTGCAAAGGTCATGCTGGAGACTCATTTCAGCCTGGTGCGGAGGAGGAAGACAAAGGAGAAGGGAGGATTTTGAAAAGTCTCCCGGTAGCAAGAGAAGCAGCTTCCTGCTGTGGCTGGAAGCTGCAGCTGGTGCTGCCCTGGGTTGCTTGCACACAAGCCAGCGCTTTCTTACCCTGCTTCAAGGAAGGTTTGTCAGTGCTCAGGTCTGAGGAAGACAAGTGTGCTTGGTTCTGAGATCTGACGTGGCTAAAATTAGTTATGTGGAAAGGCACTGAGAGCAGCTTGTGGATGAGGGCTGCAGAGCTGGTGTGTGCTAAAGCCTTTGGTCACTTGCACAGGAAGAATATTACTGTTCCCCTTCTTTAGTTTAAAAAAAAAAAACGACCCAGAGGTTAATCTTTCTGTAGCTGGATAGTTTAATATTGCAGATGAAGCTCCTGTGTTGTAAACTAAATAAACTGTACTTAGGGGAAGCGTTTACAAGTCTGGAAAGGAACAATTGAGGCAGGCAGATAAACATTCAGGTGGATTCATAATTCACAGTCTCTGGAATAAAATCCCCACACACGTAAATAAAAGCCAATTCTAAAAATGCCTGGCAGGCTATTCCTGTGTGGCTGCCCACCAGCAGCAGGGCAAGACGATATCCTATCTCTCTCTTAAAAAGCCCTCCTAGTCCCCGAGGAGGGCTGGCAGGACATTCGGTCGCTCTGCGCCGTTCCTCTGCTCCCGGCTCCATAGGCAGGGGTTCGGAGCCTGCGCACGAGGGGTGAGCTGCCCGCTCCGCACCTTCGCTTCTCCAGGACTGACTGCTGCACCAGGAAGGGATGAGGCCCAGCTCGCGTGCAGAGCAGGGAAGAAAAGACAGTTGTATTTTGGTCGTCTTGATGGCCAGCGAGGAGGGAAATGCTTTTGCAGCATGCACCCAGACTGGGCCACAGCCCGGCCCCTGCAGCCGTGACCGGGAGGGCAGAAGGTGTCTGTGGGGGAATGAGCTGGTGGGCAGCACGCAGAGGAGCTGGGGGACAGAGATTGCTCGTGCTGGACCCGGTAAGAGCACAGGAGGGGTCCTTGCTGGGCTCCTACGGAGGGAAGGTGGGTGGACGTGGAGCTGGGATGGCTTTTTGAAAGTGCACCCTGGGATATTGTGCACATGCTGTTGTGTGTTCTCGAGACTGCGGGAACTCTTGAGTGTCAACCTGCTTTCTAACCACAGCGTTTTTCCACGTACATGTGGTTCGTGTGTATCTTGCGACTAAGGTCAAGAGCTAGTTTGGTGGTCCAGAACTGTTGTTTCTGTATCCACGCTTTCGGGTTTGTATCTAGCACTTCAGTCTGTGCAAGAAAGGGTATGCTATTAGCTGTACAGCACAGCTAACCACAGCAGGAGGTTTTCCAAAAGGATAACTTAAAATACTTGAAGATCCTAGGGCTGCAGTGCCCTAGGAGATTTGCAGTGCTGCTGCTTGTGTGTTGCCCTCACCTGCCTTGCCGGCTGCTCAGCTCAGTCGAGGAAGGCTTCACTCCTCTCTCTGCTCCTTTGCAGAGCCCTGTTTGACTATGACAGGACCCGGGACAGTTGCTTGCCCAGCCAGGGGCTCAGCTTCTCCTACGGGGACATTCTCCATGTCATCAACGCCTCTGATGATGAGTGGTGGCAAGCCAGGCTTGTGACGCCCCATGGCGAGAGCGAGCAGATTGGAGTCATCCCCAGCAAGAAAAGGTGAGTGCCCGTCGGCAGGAGCTGTCACACGTGGCAGCCCTCGAGACCCTACGCCCGGAGCTTCTCAAAGCGGTGCCACGTGGCGGGACTCTCCCCATGGTCTCAGCACTAGGAGCCCATCTGCCCTGCTGTGGTGGAGCAGCGTGAAGGGCGCCAGGGTGGCAAGCTGGGGCTGCACGCAGGTCTCCTTGAAGTGGTGTTTTCCAGAGCTGGACTGACTGCAGGTCAGGACAGGAGCCCTCAGCCATGTAGCATCCAGCACGTGGTGCCCGTGGAGATGGAGAACTGGCGTCAGCCAATGCTGGGCTCTAAGCAAGAGCAAAGAAAATCACAGCAGCAACACAAGTATCAGGCTGTTCTTTGCAGCCACTGACAGTTTGTCCAGCTCTGTGAGCCAAGTCCCATTAAATGGGCAGTTGTAGAGCCCAGAGAGCAGAGGAGCTGGCTAACTACCATCGGGCCTGCAGGTCTGCAGCCTCTGTGGGCCCCAGGTCCAGACTGATCCTGGTGGGTAAGACAGAGGCAGGAGTCTGTCCCCTGCTGCTGCCTGCAGCTTGCTGGCTGTTTGCACAGCTTCTGTGAGCACAGCAGTCACCTCCTGCTGTAGAAGTCAGTGCTAACAAGCCCTTTGGCAGAGCCGAGCTGAGTGAAACGGGAGCAGGGTTTGAGCAGAGCCCTGCTCCCTCCACGCTGCTTCTCCAAAGTATACGCTCATCCTTGCTGCCCAGAAGGTGAGCTGGCCTTCATCCCCTCTGGGACTCCTCCCAGAGCTGAGGAGGAGTTCCTCGCTCGCATGTGTGCCCCATCTTCATCTGTCCTCCATCCCTCCCCCTCCTAGGAAGGCTGGTTTGTTCCCTCTCCTACTCCTGCAGACTTGGAGTGTGGTTTTCAGTCTTCTGGGGTCCTGGTCTTGGTCAGGCCCGGGACAGGCTGCCACCTCAGGCCATCTCAGGAAAGGAGCCCTCCTTCACGGAGGGGACCACCATCCAAAGATGCTCCGAACTGCCTGGGCAGCTGAGCACCACATCGGGCCTGGCAGGGGGAGGATCACGTACACAGGACTAGCAGATCTTTCTCCCTTTTAACTTCCAATCAGGGTGGAAAAGAAGGAGAGAGCGCGGTTGAAAACAGTGAAGTTCCACGCCAGGACTGGCATGATAGAGTCCAACAGGGTAAGTGCTGGAGGTGGGACGCAGCAGGTCGTCCTGAGCCTGTAGCTAGCGGGGGCAGGATGGATCCGAGCAGACAGTGCAGCATTCCCCGCTCAGGTGGCAGCTGGAGCGTTACCAAAACAGAGCAAAGAGCAGAGCAACTGGACTTTCCTCAGGCATCCACCCACCTGGCCTGGCCCAGCACGAATCCACCTTGACTCTGCAGGGGTTTGAGCAGGAGATGTGAAAGCGCTGGTGAAGGACACCCGGGTCTGTAGCAGAACGTCCTTGCAGTGGCACAGGGAGCAGAGCACGTGCCACCACGGCCCATGCACAACACTGGTGGCTTGGAGCTGACTGCAGGCAATTCATGCAGCCGAGTGTAGCCTCCCTCCTACGGAGTGCTTGAGCAAAGAGATGAGGAAGGGAGAAATGGCCTTGCTCCTGCAAAACTGCTGATGGGCTAGTCAGCTTCCCAACATCCCTGAAAGCACATTTTTCTCTACACTTAATTTTTCTCCTGCATTATAGTTTTCATGTAATCTTCATGATTTCATTTAAGGGTAACTGCCCTGACACAGCTCCTCATTGTCTCTTCATTTTAATTTTTCCTGCATGCGTTAAACGCCATTGTTTTTTCTGTCCTCCCTTCCATCTCCATGTTCTTCACAGTCGATCAAAACGAAACGTAAAAAGAGTTTCCGCCTCTCTCGAAAGTTTCCATTTTACAAGAGCAAAGAGAACCTGGCCCAGGAGAGCAGCGGACAGGAACGTAAGTAGCAGCTGGCCAGGGAGGGCAAGCGTGCAATCCCCACCCAGACCCCCACCTCCTGCCTCGGGCAGGAGAGGCTCGACACGTTTTCTTTGCCAGCGAGCCCGGCACCTGCCTGCTTTGGGCCAAATTGGACGACTTCTGCGAGGCTTTTCCCCAGGCAGGCAGAGGCCAGGTGTGTGGTGTGCAGTACCAGCAGGCTCCTCGGAGCTCCCCAGGCTTTACTCCCAGCCAGTGGTTTCCTAGGCATAATCAGTCATGGATTTGACCCTAGGAGCAGCTTCCCTCCCTCAGGAGATGTGGGGAGAAGGGATCTTCCCTCCCTTGCTGAATGCTGGTGGGAGAAGTATTGGCAGCTCCCCTTGCCTTCCCCTCAGCCGCTGTGCAGTGCTTGGATCGGGTTCTGTACTCTTCAGTCCCGGCTTCAGCTAGGGAGAAAATGGGGCTAAAAATAAAGGCAGTGACTCCTGTAGTGCTTGGGGCAGATGCCGCCAAGATGAGAGGGACCTCATCACTTGTTCTCGTCCCTTTGCACCCACCAAACTCCCAGCCGAGAGACCTGACGGCAGGCAGGCTCTCCCAGCTGCTGCATGTCCAGCTGCCTCTGGCCCTCTTTGTCCAGCCTCTGGCGTGTGCACAGGTTCTCCCTCTCTTTCTGTCTCTCATGTTCGATGTCTTCATCCTTTCACAAGTTTACACCTGCCTAAACCTCCGCTCTGCCTCCTCCTGCTCTCTCCCATGTGCTGTGGGCTCTGCTCCCTCCGTTCCCCCTATGCCTGCCAAGGGCTGCTCGCCTCCCAGAGCAAGGGGCGGGCTGAGTTGCTCAAAGGTTGTCTCCTGTATTTGTAAGGGCTGAGGATGTCCTGGCTGTGCCCGCTGCCTCCCAGGGAAGGAAGCGACTCTTGAGCTACGTCTTCCCGAGCGGCTCGGCCCTTCGCTGTGGGCACGAGGGAGCTGTGCCCTGCCATGCGGAGGAGCTGCTGACGTGCAGTGACAGAGGCACGGCTTTGGTAGTTGGCTCCAGACTCCGGGGAATACCCAGCTCTCTCATCCGGCAGCTCCCTCGGGCTCCCAGCAAAGGCAGATTCACCGCAGCTCCCTGGTGTCTGCGCAGGAAGCTGCCTTCTCCCTCCCCTCCTGCCGGCAAGCCGGCCAAGGGGGTGCCCGGGCACATCCTGGGTGCTAAACGAGGATGGGAGAAGGGGAGGGCGAGCAGGGCCCTGGGGACAGCTCTAGGCTTGAGAATTGCCCTTTCATTCTCTGGGACGTGCAGCTTGTCACCCCAAATCCTTACATCGGCCAGAGCAGGCACGTTACACTGGGGAAAGCCAGTAGGTAGAAATCAGTCGAGAAGGAGCTGTAGAGAGGTCATCGTGGAGACGGCGTGCTTCGGGGAAGGGCTCCTTTCCCCCCGGTATCCCACCGCAAGGAGAGAACAGCCAGCCCCGGCCGGGCACAGCTGCTCACCTAAGCCAGCCCTCCTTTTTCCAGATGCTCCGTTGCATCCGCTCCTTCAGCAAGCGTCCGTGGCGAGAGCCGCGGTCCTCGCCGCAACGCTCTCCCTCCGCCGGGTGCCAGGCCAGCTCTCCCGGGCCGGG